TTTTTTTTGTAGAACAATTCTATTTAGTCTTAAAATTCACAAAAGTACTTAAATTATTTTGAAAATTAATTTTCTTTCTGTATCTTGTTCCAAACTTTAAAATGTGAATCTAATTTTTTAAAATCTATTTTAGTGACACCTTAATTGTCTCATTAGGCTGCAATTTGAAAAAATTGTAGACCTATAAATTCCCATTGTCATCTGTCTGTCTATCCTTCCTTAATCTCGAGATGAGACCAGATGAAAGATGAGACCAGATACGAAAACCTTTGAGGCAGCAGCCCTGATTAACTATATAAAAACTTCTGATGCAAACCGGAAGTCATGTCATTTCAATTCAAAAAATTCCCACCCCCTCAAATAGTGTTAGATGACCAGCACAATTCTATTGTTAAAGGAAAAGTATGATGTATGGGGCAAGCCACTTCTAATTTGAGGTGGAGAGCATACATTTTAAATTAAATAAATTAAAAGTATGACTAAAAATTGCAGCCTGGCATTGTGATGATGTCACAATAAATAATTTCTTGTTAATATACAATAAATCAACTAACAATATAGCTTCATTATGAGTAATTTTTCTTTTAGATATAAGTCTGAACATCATTATTTAATTATTATTAATTTTTAAAATTCAAAATGGATAAATAAACTGAATATTGAAAATAATTATAAAATAATAAATTAAGAATTCAACACTTCTATGTTAGACCTTATTTTGAATGAACTGGTAATAAAATCAAGAACGTTGACTATTTTAACAATATAATCTTAGAAAGGAAGAGATCACAATCAAGCCATTTAATCCTCTTCTTCATATACTATTCATAAAAATATAATCTGTTAAGTTTTTAAAGTGAAACATTTGGTAAAATAATAAATAAAACTTTCATTAAGTCTGACCCCACTCAAGATATGACATATGACATTTCTCTATCTGCCCACCTCTTGACCTTTAACTACCAAAATTTAATAGCATCAATACCCCTTATATGGAAATAAATGCAGTTTCAAAATTTTTGGTCCATCAGTTCTGAGATATATTGCAGAATATATTTATGTTTTAGATGTGTTTGAAATTATTTTTATTATTTAGAGCAATTTTTCATTTTTTGATGTTATATTTACTTTGTAATATAAATATATTTTTTTAGTTCAANATGCATTACAGAATTGATTCGAAACTTTTTTTAATATTATTATTGATTTTTAAAATTCCTTTTAAAACAGTAAAATCGCATTTATGTTTTCTTTTTCTTTTACTTTTTTTTCCTTTTTCTTTTCTTTTCATGGATATGCTCGTATTCTCATCATTTAAATTTTGTTAAAATAGAGGAAAAAACACATTATAACAAAAACATATGTAGTATAAATTATTAATGTAATTTTATACTTTTTAAGGTTATAAATATATTTTTTAAGTTCAAGTTTTTGTTATTAAAACATAATTTTATTTATAATGAGCCATACTTTAAGTACATGTACAATTTTTGACCCACTTTTGACTTTCTTCATTTTGTATAATGATATATTTTTGCAGTGCCATAACTAGCCATTCCTGTGCCTTGTGCAAGAATTTGCATTTAGGCCACTTAATTAATTAGGCTTGGGAAAATAATAAAATAAATACATGCATTTTGGGTTCCCCTTTCAAGTGGGCCCTGTGCAGGTGCACTTGTTGCACCTGCCTAGTGTTAGTCAGCAGTGCCTGTATGCAGTATGTAATATAATATACAGTAGACCCCTATAAAACGGGTTCATATAAAACGGATTCATATAACACGGCTAAAAAATTGTGATTTTATTTGTATAAACACACTAAAAAAGACTCATATAATATGGTAAAATGTCATCACCGACTCGTGTCGTGACAGGATTGGTCGAATCTAGACCAATAGTGGATATTGCACAAACCATTGAGTTTAAACGAGCAGCGGACCTACTAAAAACCATTTATTATTTAATGGCCATAAAAATTATATTTATATTAATGATGTCTCCAAAGTTCAGCGAATTTTTCGCAGAAAAATAATTTATCAGAAAAGTTCAATGCGCCGCTCCGCTATGAAAACAAGTTTAAGCAATGTTATCGTCAAACGGTGCACACTCAGTAAGTAATCCTACAATTTTTTGTTTATAGCATAGTTTATATGGGTTATTCCCAAAAAATTATACATGTTTTGGAAATGTTGAGCCAAATTAGTCTAGAATCGATTAATTTTATGGAAGAAAACCTTTCAAACATCTGTAGTCCCTAAACTGCATATGTGCCAGGCTGTAATTGGCTCATGTATTTAAGTGACTTGTACAACATGGAATTAATAAAACATGGAACATATCTAATATGTTATTGGGGGTCTACTGTATACTTTTGCTTTCATCATGTAAACTTAGATAGTCTAAGTGTAATAGTAGCCTAACAGGCCAAGTGTTGGCTGGAAAAAAGAAAAAGTACCAGTCAGAATTTTCTCAGCTTGTCCCTGTAGACTTGATGATTCATTCCTGGCTATGGGACTGCCTTTAGTGATGTGTACAATAGTTCATGGATCTCTGACATTGACTACAAAAAATTCTGCAAATATTTTCTAACTGATAGTTTAGTCACATGACTATTAATTAAGTAGGCTTTTAAAAACAAATTTGTATGCCACTAATACCACTAAAGTCTATGTAACAATACCTCAATCTCTTCCCTCCTCATACTCTACAATGATGTACGTTTTACAATTCCCCTCCCCATTAAACTGTACATGTAAGTAATGGACAGCCCCTAAATTCTTATGGTAGCAAATTATAAATATACATACTCCTTCAACTTATGTAATTTGAAGCAGCTTGCTATTTTATATAAATTATAATGCTATCTTAAAGAAAAAGAAGTCAACAAAGAAACACATCTGAAACCAGAACAAATTAACTCAAATTAATTTGTTTTGTTGTTTAAAACTTTAGTGATAAAATCAGTAATGCAAAAATATACATACCTTAAAAATTTGAGTATACAAATGGTGGTCTCACTGTTTTTTTTTTTCAACTATGCTTCATTAGAAAGGAACTTTCAGATTACAAAAAAGGCCAAGCATTATAATTAACTGGAAATAATTACAAATTTAAAACAAAAGAATTAAACCAATTTATTGTAGCAATTCAAAATTTTTGACAAAACAATGTAGCTATGTCTTTAAAAAAATGTGTAGGATGTCCCTGCAAGCTGTTGAAGAGACATGAATGATGGATCATTAGAACAGGATCAAATACAATAAAAACTGCAAATGAAGTGAAACAAGATCTTCAACTGATCATGTTTAAACATACATATCTATAAACTGTATATTTTTAGATATGATTCCTTTTTATTAATTAAAAGAGAAAAGCATAGTGTATGTCAAAATTGATAGTGTACCACATCTGATGCCTAAATACAAGACAACTAGATTGAACTTCTGCAAGAGAACATAAACAAGGACTGGAAAATGGTATCATTTAACTCCCTTTTTATTTCTCCCTTTAACTTATGTTAATGCTGTGGCATTAAAATAGTACAATTATAACAGATTTTTGTTTCAAGTAATATTCAGTGATGAGAAACAGTTAACTTGGATGAGGCCAATGGGTTTGCTAATTGTTGACATAATTTATGTAAAGAACCAGTGTTCTTTTCTAAATTAAATTTCTCTGAAGGAATCCTGATGGTTTGGGGAGCATTCAGCTTTCAAGACAAGCTGAAATTGGTCTTTACATCATTCAAAATAGACAGTAATGAGTATCAACAAGTACTGCAAGACCATTTGATCCCATATTTGTGATATTTTAGAAGAAATAAGTTTACTTTTCAACATGACAATACATCAATACAAGTTAGCACAAGCACATGTGTTTAGTTAAATCAGAGAAGCATTGAAGAAGATTAAGTTAAGAAGTAGCCAGCTTGTTTTCCAGGTTGCAATCTTGAGGAAAATCTACAAGGAAATCTAATGAGAAGTCTAGAAAATAACTGACAATATAACAGACAAGAACGTCATAATGCAATAATGCTAGCTTGGGACAAAATATCTATTTTGTTTCAAGCTAACAATGGGTACATTCAGCAAACAAAAAGTATGTATTGCTTTAGCTCAGCACTATAATGCAGCATTGTAAGATTGGCTAGATGTGTATGGTTCTTTAACTGGCAGATATGTTATTGATTCAGAACTTAGAAGCAAGATATTAAACATTTATATGTGGTATATTTTTGTATTTATAATTACCTTTTATTATTCCATAATTATGATTATATTGAAAATTTGTTCATTAAATTTTAAATTTTCACTCATTCTTAAGCATGATACAACTGAAAAATGTGTTGTTCTAAAGTACTGTAATGTAGCAGAATGAATATGCACTTGAACAATAGCAGACTGCTTCAAGATAGTGCTGACAGAGTGATGTCATTTAGATTAGTTCAGCCAGACTCTTCACTAAAGTGCTGCAGTGTTGCTGTTTGCACCCAATGGCACTTTGCAGATCTTATAGAAAATACATACAAGCACATTTTTCAAATAATTAATCCAAATGGACTTTTTTGTAGTTATTAAATTTAATCAACATTTTGGTTTACAGAGAGAATTTTTATTTTGAGGCTATTTATGTTTTTGCATTAATTAGATTCTGGATTTCACCACTTTTGTTCAAAATTTACCCTTTGTAACATTCTCTTTTACACTACACAATATTCAATAGTTATATATATTCATTTAGCAATAAATTTAATGCAGTATATGTAAGTTCTTCAAATTTATGAAAATGGAGGGTAATGTATATTTACGTTTCATAGAATAGTATTAGAGAAAATACTTTTAACTGAAATCATTTTTGTAATTATGTGATTTAATCCATTATTTTTATAAATGATAATATATTCAGCATTTAATATTTTACATTTTCTCTTTAAGTAATTACATTTATAAATATTTATTGTAGAATTTTGTTTATAACTATTTTAGATAAAATTATGTACCAGTTATCAAAAAATAATCTTTATCCAAAAGATTATTAAATAAAATTAATACTCTGATATAATTGAAATTTCATTTCCTAATCATATATTTGCATATTTTTCTTTCTGAGCATTATCAGTCAGCAAATTAGTTTTTGCTGTTATTCTTGCAAAACAAACTTAAATTCTATACATTAAAGACTTGTCAGATAACTAACATTTGACAATATAATTGTTAAATTGAAGAAACAGACCATATATCAGTGTTCTCCCCAAACTAAATTTTAGCTGGTTGATCAAGCAGTTAAATATTTCCTTTAAACCAATTAAAAATATTTATTATTATATTTTTAAAGAAATTAGACTATAGATTAGTATACTAATGAATGTTATAATTATGAGTATTTGTTTTATTGTCATTAACTGAGATTTGTAGGAAAATTTACAATAGCAGCCAGATAACACTGCAGGTCAGCCATCTAAATTTTTTCCTGAGAACACCAATAGATTCTTTAATCATACAAAATAATTTACAATTGTAAAATTCCTTGTAATTTACCTATGTATAAAACAGAAAAACTCTGAAAACTTTAATAAAAATATATTTACTTGTGAAATTAGTAAGCATCTGATTTCCTAACAAATAAACACAGTATAAATTTTATGATCACCCATTAAAAGAAACCAAGACTGAAAAACACTGTTTGGTTTATGGTAAAACTAGTTGTTGATAATTGATTATAAATGGATTGTCAATAACCAAAATTCTGATTATTATAATAGGCATTTACTTCATTACTAATAGATATTTCACCTAAAAGGGAAAATAATGCATTGATTCCAATATGGAGCTAAATACATTTCTTTATCTAATTCTTAATTTCTTTGTTTGGAAAGATATGCAGTTTAAGTTAAATAATAGGATTTATACTTTATATGAATATTTTATGTAGAAAAGATAAACAATTCCAAAGTTACAGAATAAACAAAAAACTATTTTACTGGAGTAAACAATATTAGAGAACTAACACATCAACAGACATTTTTGAGTTCAGAGCTCTGTAAGCTTATGGAACTACAACAGATCAAGCATTATCTAGCAACAGCTTTGCTTTTGCAACATTCAAACTTTCCAAGTTGATTCAGCCTGATGACAAGCTAGACTTAAAAGTTCTTGCCGATGTGTTAATTCTGTAATATTTTTTAAACCAATAAAGTAGTTTTATTGTTTGTTATTCTCTAGAAAAGATATATTTTTTAAATAGTTATACAAATATAATCAAATGATACATCTGAATTCTTATTGGTTAAAATATGGCTAATTAATTAATAAGATATCAAATTAAAAATCTGGCTAGATAGCCCAATAAGAATTTAGCTGTATTATTTGATTATAATGTTTGGTTTTATATGTCATTTTATACACAAGTATATTAACAAAAACAAAATTTACTTTTCTTAGATGCTGTCTATCATTAGAAGTGTTATACATTTAGAAGTTAATAAAATCAAATGCATTTAATTTTCTTATATATCTGCAATGTATTGTAAAAACAAATGTTTATTCCACAGAATCAGTCATTTCAATTAGTTTATTAAAAAAACAAAATTCAAAACATGAAGCAATTAATTTGCTCCAATTTATATACTTAATAATTAAAAAAAAACATTTGTAATGTAACATAAACATTTAAAATATATTATCTATTTATATATGTATATATATATCTTTTATAATAAGACTAGAAAATAATTTTTTGAATATCTGCAGAAATATCCATATCATCAATATCCTCTGGGCCAATGTCTTCAACATCTAATTCATTTTCAAACATTTTTTGTAACAAATTTTCAACGTTTTTATCTGAAATATTAGTAGATATTTATTTATATAATTCTTTCAACAATATTCTAAAATATTTCAATTTAAAAATTATACCCATTAAAATATTAATAAAAAATGAATTGTTGTTTCTTTGCAGACACACTAAGGTGACATATATCAACACTTGGCAACTTATTGACTATTTATTCAGTTGGGTAAACTGAAATAATCAACTGAATAAATAGTCAATAAGTTGCCAAGTGTTGATATATGTCACCTTAGTGTGTCTGCAAAGAAACAGCTTAATAGTGTTGATATATGTCACCTTAGTGTGTCTGCAAAGAAACAGCTTAATAACAACAACACGGTTTCATCAGAATAAAAAAAAAATGAATTATTCAAAAACTTTGTTTAGATTAGTGTAACAAACTGTTAAAAAATATAAAAGCAATGTTAAAGTTTCAGTTCAATTACAATTTTTTACACATCTGAACAAGATATGTATACAAATTTTTAACTGTATTATGATTATAAAACTATAATATGAGGGAAACAAGGCATTAGAAATATAACAATCAGCTTATAATCAAATAAGTACAAATTTTATAAATTGCTGTCTACATATGAATTATTATAATTTTAAATGGGAAAAATTAAACTCATATCTAAAAATAACCATCATTTAATGAAAATTCTAAAATTTATAAAAAAAATTCCATTTTTAATAAAATAAAAGAGAATAGTTAATTTTGAAACAAAAAAATTTGTATTAAATTAAAATATTTTACATTTCTATGATACACTTATCTTCTACTTCATGATTTTTCTTCTAGTTACTGATGAAAGAAAAATCATGAAAAATCATGAAACTAGCATAAATTATAATTTATGCTAGTTTTTCATATTATGAATTACAGTATTTTTCACAGATGAGATACTCTATAAAGTAATTAGATGATCATTCAGCTTAGTACATTATTCACTCTTTTAGTAGAAAATACAATGCCAAATACATTATTCATTCAGTGTTGGTTTCCAGCTAGTTCATTTTCAAGTATTCTCAACATGCTTCTACTTCTTTGGATCATAGTATTATGCAACATTTGTATTTCACCATGGGATCAATAACAGTCCAAATCACTATATTGTTAAATAGATCTTATCATTCAATAAGGGTCATTATTAGTGACACATGTATTAATATATTATTAATTTTTAAAGGTCTTTGAATGATATGCATTAAATACTTGAACAACATATATTATTATTAATGACAAAAGATACACAGAACTTTATTGCTGCTGCAGTTATTTAAGCATTTGCTTGATTTTTGAATAAAAACAATGTTTCTTGTATTTGCTTTATGATTGGTTGTCATCTGCTAGTTTCATTAACGACCATCGACATCCATTGTGATAACAGACTTATTAAACACAGAATAGAAAAGATTGCCAGATTAGAAAATCAATATTTATTGGTTTATATTATCTGGAGAATGCATTTCAGACCTTCTTGTCCCTCATCAGCCCTATACAAGTTATACATTGTCAGTAATTGTACATCTTTTTACACAAATTAATATACAATAGAGCATCGTTTATCTAAAAGTCGGTTATCCGAAAGCATTCCAGTTGGCAAATGTAAATTTTCGCTAGTGCTGTGGTACTGCAATCTTTGGCTATATCTTGGGCTACTCCAATATTTTTTTGTTGGTGTGTGTGTTTTAGCTGGCAGCACTGGCATTTTTGTGTTGTGTTTTTCTGAGGATTGTGTGTCATGGGCTGTGTTCAGTAACGCAGAATTCTTACTAAGTCTAGTTATGCTGCAATGTTGAACTCTTTTCTAACTACTGCTTGACTCCTCCCACCACTAGCTTCTTTTATGTATTCTTAACTCCACCCACTAAGCCACTCAGAATTCTAAATTAGGTGTTCTGTGTTACTGAACACGGCCATGCTGAATCAAACGTTTTTGATACTACATCAACTTCTAAAGTATATTGTTTTTTTGTTTTTATATTTTTCAAAAAATTGATTTTGTTTGTACAAAATAAAAAAATAATTTTTAGCAATACAATAACCATAGTTATTATTTTAAAAAGTTTACGTTAGGCTTAACATCGATGAAAATTCAACGCAAAGCGACATGCAACGGAGAAAAATTTCAACGTGGGATAGGTTAATATATTTTTTCATACATAATCGGTTATCTGAAAAATAAGTTATCCGAACAACCCCAGTCCTCAATTGATTTGGATAAACGACGCTCTACTGTACATAGATCTTGTTGTGAAACCAGATAATAAATCTGGTTTCACAACAAATGTTGATGGCCATTAATTAATTAATGAAACTAGCAAAAATAATGTTCTTTTGGATCCAAGATTCAGAATTTTTTCCTATTTGTATTAATGAAAAAAGTTCTTTACATATTAAAACTTTTGCTTTAAAAACAATGTTCCTAAAAATAATCCATAAAGAGAAGGATGAGCACTACTTAACCTAGTTCTACAAAAAATTTAAAATTGTTTTGGATGAAATTCTGTATCAGCTTTTCTATAAAGCTGACACAGAAAATCATCCAAAAAAATTTTACATTTTTACAGAAAAAAAATGCTAATTATTATAATAGCAGTTCTATTTTCATTTAAACAAACTTCGATTATCAGCACAAAACCTTTCTCACTAATTTCTAGCCATATTAACAGGAGTACAAACATTTTCGGCCTTCTTAACAGGCCTTCCTCAAGTACACTGTGGAGCGTCGGTTAGAAGAAGTTTAAATGCTGCCAATGTTTACCCAAACTTCTTCTAACCAACGCTCCACAATGTACCCGAGGAAGGCTATATAGAAGGCCAAAAACGTTTGTATTCCTGTTAATACGGCTAGAAATTAGTGAGAAAGGTTTTGTGCTGATAATCTTAGAAATAGTTCTAGCTACATATGCATAGTAGTGTAAACAATCTTCATTGATATTACATTTGCTACTAGTAAAAATATCATTTAAAATCATGTGTTAATCATATATGATTTCAAATGGTATGATATGATATAACTTTATTTCAGTCATCAGAACATTATATGATTTGATGTCAGTTAACACCATAATATATAGCAAGGGTGGGCAACCTTTTTTATAACATGGGCCAGAATAAATTTTACGTTTCTTCCGCGGGCCATAGTAGTTAATTGACACCTTGTGACCTGTAAATTTTTAGTCTGCAAATATGAAATAAATAAATAAATAAATAAANAATTCCTACTGGAATTTAATTTATAGGTCTGCAGTTTTTGGCAATTGCAATTTTTGTAAATTTTGTCTGTCTGTCTTTAATCTTGAGAATGGAGTTAGATAGATGAATGTCAAGACCAGATAAGGAAAACTTAGGAGCAGGAAGCACTGATTAACTATATACAAACTTCCCATTTGGAGCAGAAGTAATATTATTTCAATAAAAAATTTTTTTCTGAATGGAGTTAGATACATGACTGGCATAACACTATTGTTAACAGGAAAGTATGATGCACAGGGGCAAGACAGTATTAAAATTGAAAGCATTGTGATGAAAAATTGCAGCCCAGCATTGTGACAATGTCATAATAAATAATTGTTCCTTGTTAATTAAAGATTTCCAATTTCAATAAAATTGTTCAACTTGTTTAATAATACACCTGGGTGTCATTTGAAATCAATCAGAAACCATTTCATAAAATATATCAAGTCATTTGAAACTGTCTAAAAATCATTTCAGACAGTTTCAAATGACACAAAATGATATCACTTATAATTCAGGATCATTTATTGACAAGACTATGTCTTGTTTATAAAATCGTACTGCCTCATGTTCTTATCAGCATAGAGGTATGAAGGAGTACATGTAGAGAGTTGATATTTGGCACAGAGTATTAGGTGCCCAAATCATTTGCACATAAAAAAATCCAGACTCATAGGTAGTCAGGGGACCAAGAATTGAGGCAAAATAAAATCCAAAATGGCGACCCTTTTCTAGAAACAGACAAAACAGCCACCTCACCCGACCGAAGTCAGGTAGGAGAGAGTACCACCCACAGTCATTCTAAGAAGTGAACTCTGACCTTAAGACTGAAGGCGCTTGCACGTGACCTTTGCCCCTTGACCTCACTTTGCTCCTAAACTCTAACAAGGAGAGACATCTTTTTACTACCTTTCGATTAGACAGCTGTGCCGATTTTAGATTTATATTGTATATCGACGCTGTTGTAAATATCACTCTACCAATACAAATTAAGTAAATTATCAGTTTCTTAGTACATTTTTAATGACAGAACAAAAGACACCGAACATGTGGTCAAGGTAAACGTGGACATCAGGGACAAGGTAGGAGAGACATTTTTTCACTTTACATTAATTGACCTTTCGAGTTGACAGCTGTGTGATCTTGGATTTATATTGATCAATATGCTGACGATCACGCCAAAATACTATATTGTAAAAAGAGAAGGCACTGAGGTCGGCGTTATGCGTGCATTTTTTTAATCGCTAGTACTTTTGACGAACTTATAGTCGTCGTCATCAGGCGAATTACCGAAAGAATTAAACGGAAATAGTCCGATTTGGAATAGAACGCTTAAATTTAAGATGAAACTTTAGTCAAAGTCGTTAGGAACACGATAGAAATATTCAAAAATGTTCGAAAAACGAATGAGCAGAAAGCTCCATGATGTGCGAATACGCGCATGCGCAGATCTAGACGCACACTGTACACATTCTGGAGGATGCTAATTTTTACGTAATTGCTTGTATAGTGTGACCCATACACTGGGCAGCTCGAGAGTTGGAATGTTGCACGTGTCCAAGGTGGTAGTAAGAAGAGACTCCCATATGAAAACGATTTTTCGATCCTTACAGCTCTTGAGCATAACCGCTTGGGACCATAGCGGGTTGTAACCCTGCTCAAGTACTTTTCTTGCGAGCTCCAAATACCACATTATGCAGCAAAAGAGAATTTTCAAACTGACCAACAGTGTCTCCCACCTGCATCACGAACTGTTTAACAACACTGCAACAACAAACAACAAAAAGAACACATCGCTGCTCAGGAAGTGAACTACAAGACAACATCGACATTTGGGACTTCTGAACAGCCAATTGTGTTCAGAAATATTTGTTTCATAGTGTAAGTTTGTTTTATGCTAAAATAAACAAATTTTTGTAAGATACTTGTTGTCTTGTCTCCTCCACCACACCCATACATGAACATCCCTAGATCATCCTGATGCAGGATTAATGATCCCCCAAAAGATGGCTAACTTACATATATATCTTTCTAATATCAGTTTTTAACCATTATTTCTGGAACTTATTTTATAAAATTTATAAAAATATTTAACTTAAATATTCCATATTTATATTTAGAATTTTACTTACTTTTAGAAATTCGAAAACGTATCTCTGTTTCATGTGAAAGATCTGGTAGATTTGAAGGTGCTCTTTCTCTGGAATCCACTTCATCATCCTGATAATCATGATCACTATCTAACTGAAGATCTAAGTCGGCATTAGACACCAAAGTATCTTTATCAGTTTCATTTTGAACATGAGTCTGCTTCCTGGAAAATAATATTTTTAAAATTACAAATGTAAGGAAACTTGACATGTGCTTGGATTATTTCAAATAAATTGATGCAATTTTTATTATTTCTATTTAATATTAAAGACTTTCAAATGAAACCTATTACTATTATCTTTAAATGAATATGTAGAATATTAGTATAAATTCTAATGATAATAATGAGTACACAGTTTTAAGCTCTGAAAAATTTTTCCAATGAGAAAAATATCTTCTATCATTTGTTGAGTATACACAAAACCCATATAGAGCAGAGACTTATCAAATGATCCTGCTGAGCTCTCTATCTAAGCTTAATTCAAAAGTTTTGAAATACCTTTCACTAAATGTGATGCTAACAATAATAATACAATATCTGGACATATATACAGTATTTACACTAATTTTTTGAGATCTTTTTTAACTTAAAAATTTTAGTAAATAACACCAACAAAACCTTTAAAATTAAACCAGCACATATATTTTAATATAAATATGCTATGACAAGCACTCTCGATCCTAATTGAGATCTGCTTCAGGTCAAAACATTCAATAAAAAATTAGATTGCTAAAAGCTAAAGATTTTTTTAATTGTCATATAACCAATATGACTTCATGAACTGGTTGAATGCTTTTACATGTTTTTATGCAAATATAATTATGGCACATCTTTTTTTGAAAAAAACTAAAATTAACAATTATTTTTGAATAGTTTCTTACTGTTTTTAATTATTTCAATTAAAAAAGTAAAGAAAATTATTTTCTCGCTTAAGTAAAACCATTAAATAAATAATTTTAAAATAAAAAAAATATTTCAATAACTATAAATGTCACTAAATTTCACTTGCTATTCTAAAAAGTTTATCCAAATAAAACATTAAATAAATTCTGAAAGAATATCATAATATAAAATATATTTATAATAATTATTATGACAAGTTATTTGAAATATTAGCTATATGTATTTTAATAATTTGATGTACTGTACATACCGGCCTAATCTTAATCCCATCTCTTCAATTTTCGTTTCAATTGCACTTTCTAATTTACTTTTTGAAAATGAGTATTCCAATATGAAGGCTTCTAGCACAAAAGCTGTAAAAATGCTAAATAAAAAAATAAGATTTATTTATCTAATAAAAATTTAACAATTAAACATAATTCAGCAACCAACAACTGGATATATGTAAATTAAGCAAACAACAAAAAAAATCCAGCAGGACAATGTTAATGAACATTATGCAGAACAATGTTAATAACATCCAGCAGAACAACGTTGATAACATGCTGCAATTTTATTGTTTATATACTAAATAAAATTGCAGCATGTAAATCATAAGTTAAATAATTGTATTTCGCCAAATTATGTAAATTTATATAAATCCGCATTATGACTGGATGCAGATGCAGCTATCAGTGTTGTGTAATGTTAAGTAATCCATTGTATAAGACTATTGAAAGTCTATTAACCTGTAATCATTTAATTAGTGTGCTGGAAATACAAGAACTTTTTATAAAGAGATTTTAATCTTAAACCATTTGAAATATCTTTTAAGGAAATTATTTTCCAGGTACATACTTTTAATATTGGTGTATTGCAATAAATTTATATATTGGTTAACTATCTAACTAACTACTTTATAGTCTCATCATCAATTCCTCGTATTGTATCTTCATATAAGAACTCAATCTGAGACTAGAACAATAAACACCTCACTTTCCAAATCTGCATTGGCACATTCATACATTATTAAATTCAGTGGGTTTTATTGTGGAACCCCAAATTTTTATTGGCAAAACCTAAGATTCTGCAGAACACAAGTTGGGAACCCCTGCATTATGCATATGATATAGTCATTTTTTTCTCTGCACTCCAGTTGGACTACAGAGAATTTTAAATATTTTGTGTTACTACTGTTAGAATAATAATCTTAAAATTCTCATCTAAAACTAAGGTAATGATTTTTAGGAATGGTTCAAAGTTAAAAATGTCAGATAAATAATATTGTAAGAACATTAAATTATCAATTGTGAACAACATAAAATATTTGGGTGTCTTCTTTCAGTATAATAGCTCAATTGAAAAAATATTCAAGTTATTTGATGGAAAAAGCAAATAAGTACATTTATAACTTTAAAAATGTTCTTATATATGAACTAGCAGATGAGCGCGGCATTACTCAGGCAAAAAGTAACGATAGTGAAAATGAACATTACTGGATTATAGCCAATCTTACCCATTTTTACTGGGTGCAAGAATTAGGTTTACCCTCTTCTGAGACTAATTAGAGAATTTTTAGATAGGTCTAAAAACATGGTTGATTTTCTGCAAATAATTGCATTTAAAATGGTACAGTAAAATCTGAATTCAGGGTAATCCTCTACCCACAGGGATTTCCAAATATTTCTTATTAGTTGCATTCTCATGATGTACCCTACTGAAACGCAGTTAAAAATAAAAAATTGCATCTAAAATAGTACAGTAGAAGCTGAGTTCTTCAAGATAAGCCTTAATCCTTTTCCTCCCCCCCACAGTGGTAATTTCAAAAAATCCCTTCTCAGTGTACTTTCTCATGACATACCCTATCTGTGTACCAAATTTCAATTTTCAACTCCTAACTGTTTGGACTTTGTGCTTATTATTATCGTTGTTATGTTTTGTGAGTTATACTCGGTTCACACCGGTGGCTGTTACTATGCCGGACCAGAGTCAAGGCATAGCAACCAAAACAAAACTAAAATTAAAGAAGTGTGTCAGTGTGTGTGTCTGTATTCAGGAATTTCCTAACAATGTGGCATGTATTCAATATAGTAGCCTTCTGTAGTGTGATGTATGTATGCCTTCAGTAGTGTGATGTATGTATTTCTACTCAATTGTAATGTTCCCAGGCTTTTGTGTAGCGTGTGTGGTACAATAAGCACCCTATTCATCCTCCACAGATGCCTTATTTCCTGGGCGAGTTCTGTGTAATTGCTAATTTTTTCAGTGCATGTGTTTTGTACATTGTAGACATAGCCATTCCAAACACTCACAATGTATGTGATTTTATTGTGTTTGTCAATGAGTGTGATGTCTGGTCTGTTGTGGTAAATTGTTTTATCTGTGATTATGGCTCTGTCATTATACATTTTGTGCGTGTAGTTTTCCAATACTGTCTGTGGAATATACTTGTAGTATGGTTCGTGGATGTCTGCCAATTTGTGTTTCTTTGCAAGCTCTTGGTGTATTATATTTGCTACTNCCGGGCGACGTCCGAGCCGGTATCATACGGCTCGGACGTCTGGTTACTACCTTAGATCTGGTTACTACCATGATAAATATCTCCACAGAATGTGGGTGTGTGGTCACTCTTAGCTTCATTTCTCCCTATAGACCTTACTAGCATGGGTGTCCCTACCAGGAGCTTGTCCTCCAGCCTGCATTGTTCTATGGTTCAGTAAAATTACTGGGCTCTCCCACCACGACCAGGTGGTGACCACGGGAGAGTTATTATTATTAACCCATCTCAATTATATTATAAAACATCATCTCAAAAACCCAATTCATTTGGCTATGTAATGTATATGTTACTGTGAATGACCAATATCTGATGAATGTCAACATTCTCTGGTGAATGTCAGCATGTTGTGTATGTACGAAATATTTGCTAAATATAATTATTTCTCACTTACACCAGCAAATGTCGACATTCAGCCTGCACTGATGGTGAATGTTAAATAAAAATATTTTTATTACATTAAGACAAAAATACAACTTTTTAATATGTCAAAATAGCAGAAAGCTTAAGTAACAGCACATGTAAATAAACTGTTGAACCTAAAACGAACAGTACATTCTTAATCAGAAAATAAAAATAATACACAATAGTAAACTTACACATATATTATGTGATTAACGTTATACAATGTTATTTATTGCAACAACTTAAACTGTTATGACACTTTGAATTTCACAAGAGTCCCTTGCTTTTACAACTGCATTTATTCGTGGAACACTTCTTTTTGCAATGACAGCGTGTATAGCCTTGCCCTCCACTTTTCAAATTATCTGCAGCTGCTTCTCTCAGTGGTATTTCTTGAGAAGAAATCTCATCTATGTTTACAAATTACAAATTGATTGCGGGTATAAAGCTGCTTGAGGGTACCATTTTTGTTTGCTAATTTATAAAAGTCGGAGTCTTCTATTTCAACAACAACCAACACATTTTGGGCATCTGTACGGCCACGGTTGACATCAGGGACTTGTATTCCTATGGTATCACCAATCTGCACAGAAGGAAACGCGAAGAATTTGGTGACAGACGGTCGCCTCTCTGTCGACATCGGCTTCTCGGTTGTTGTTTCGACCTCCACCCGAAGCTTATCTGTGCTTGTCGACATACACTGGCGATTGTTCGAATGTATAATAATATATTATAACGAAATATTTGGTCTTTCACTGACGTATTTTGTATGTGTCAACATTCTCTAATTTCGGTCTTTCACAGTAACATATATATGTCTTTGTATATAATATGACTATGTAATTAATTAAGTACTGAATATTACTCTATCTCTTGACAAATTATTTAGTATTGAATTAATTACATAGTCATATTATAGTCTGATAATTTGGCAGTTCATTTGGTTTTAAAGATGTTCTTTCAAAATTAAAAAAATCTATTTATATCAAATGTTTTCACTGTCTTAATCTTCATTATAGTAATCTATCAATTCTTTTACAATTCAGACTGAATAGATGGTTTATAAAGTTTGAATCAAAAACATTAACATTAAATAAAGAATTGTGTTATTTTTGTAAGGAGAGCATATTCTTTCTATTTCATTTACTTGCTTAAATATAAATAAATGCATTTAATAAAATGTTAATAGGATGCAGGAGCTCCTATTAACATTTTATTCTCCTATTCTTCTTGGTGTTCAAGGATAGCATCCTTGAACACCAAGAAGCTGATATTAAAAACAACAGAACAAAAATGTTAATATATGTCTCATATTAATTTTGATTATCAATCACAATAACTTTTGTTTATTGATTCATAATTAGCTGGGAATATCTGTTATCAAAATTTGTGAGTTCATTGCAATGGTATCTCAAAAATTATCAGATTAATTCATGTAAAAAAGACAGGAAAAACTTTGTTTTGCATGTGTAAAATATGGCTCCCTTGGTTTTGGAGAAACAATCCTTCTAACAAAGGAATAATAATTATATTTACTCTTAATAAGATAATAAAAGTGAAGAAACTAATTGCAATACTTACTTAAGTACAATTATGACACAAGTTAAATGGAATAAAAAGAAATATATTCGAGCAGCTTTACTGGTGACAATTACAAATCCACTCGTCAGAAGTTTATGAATTAAGGAATGATATATTAATTTAATTTCAAACTATATTTAATTATTTTATATTTGTATAAATATTTATTTACATAATTCAATACTTTCATTTGATAAATTTTGTAAAATGGAATAGTTATTTAATATGAAAATTTATTAATAATCTATCAAAGAACTATTAAACAAAAAATTTCATAAAATTACATTGCTTTATGTAAAAACTGATTACAGCTCTCCCTTGATAGTCCGATGTTTTTTAATCCAACATGCTCAGCAATCCGACGCAGCTCCCGTCAAGGTACCCGCCCCCGTTACGTGTCTGCTTGCACAGAAGCATGTTGCGACGTGAATCTTCCCATCCAATTTTTACACAATGACACACATTTCATGTGTTTTCTGTGAGCAGTTCTGTTCGAACAGATGGAGTAGGAATATCGTAAGCTACTGCTAGCAAAACAATGCAAAATATGTAATTATTTTTGGTAATCCAACACCCCTTTGGTCCGATACCTGTCGGATTATTAAGGGAGAGCTGTATATATTTTCAAAAAATTAAAACATTAATTTTTTAGAAAATATTAGCTTGATTCATTATTTTAAATAAATAAATAAAGTTCATAAAATTACTACAACTACTACTATCAAAAAGTAATTTATCTCCTAATCACAAGGATATCATGAGATCAGTCAATGTATGAAAAATCATCAATTACATTATCCAACATATTTGTACCTCTGGGAAAATAAAGGTGGTTTCTTATCAATTCAAATACCTATATTTCAAAAACCAGCAAGAAAATTTCACATCACATTACAGTTTTCAGATGTTGGAGCCACTAAAATAGATAACTGTGCATTTACCAATGTAAAACCACAGATATTAACAATTGATACTGTAGGAAGCACTTCAATTAAGTAAAACAAGCAACTAAAACTTGTAACTGATACCCTGTGTTCCTAAACCAAACATAGTGTTTAAAGCACTTTAAACTACATTAAATTACTGAGCTTTGTTGCTAGGTATTGGAACAGTTTGTTGAGATCACTTCAACAGATGACATTCAAATATAACAAATCTTCATTTATACTAGACTGCTATCAAATTATCATAATGAAGGCAGCACACAACAAATATGAAATTTGCATGAAAGGTATGACATTCTGGGATATGCAAATGATTAGCATTTCAACGTATGCTTGCAAAACAGGTAGGAGTAAGGCCACCTACAATCTGTATAAAAGGAAAGATTGTAAAGAGTGTTTCTCATACTGAAATCTCATTCTCATGTTGGTTGCTTGTGTAAAGGTTTTGTTATGCCTTGTGTAAGGAGGAAGAATGATAAACTGCATGTGTCAGAGTTTGATTGTGGTAAAATCGTAGCCCACCAGGACTGCAGTTTATCATTCCATACTATTGCTGCTTGCATTGGTTGTAATCCAATGGACTGTCACAAGAATATGGAATCAATGGATCCAGGAGGGGCATACAGAATGCCAATTGAATTTGAGGATTGATTTCATGCCGATCTTTGGTTAAACAAGAGAACAAAAAATTATCACACAGGCATTAATTACATAATTAACGCCTGTGTGATAATTTGTTCATACAGAATGTCATATGGGATCTTGACAACCCCCTGTTACTAACACCTGAGAGAACAAATATCTTGTCCACATGGCCTTGTGGGATCATACAGCCACATCACATACTCGGAATCAAGAACTTGGGTCGTTTTCAGAACAAGTGTCTGACAAACAATGTGATAGTGTCTGCAGCTCAGCATGACAACCATTGTTGCGACTTCCCTTGATGCTGCAGCAGAGACAGGCGCACCTACAATGGTGTGTAGTGCAAAGGGCACCACCATGTGACCTTCATCCTTTGATCCCACTTTTGCTTTTGGACTCCAACGAGGAGAGTTATCTTTTTCCTCCATGCCAACCTTTTGGAGCTGACCACCTTAATGACTCTGAACTTGTACAACACCTCAATGTCCTTTGTAAATATTGTATAGTCAGTCAAAATAAAGTGAAATTGTAGCCTGGATTAGTGTCTCGCTTCATCTCGTTGATGGAGCAAAGACACTGGATATCCTGACTGTTAGGGTTAAGGTCTTTTATCATTAACTCTAGTGTCGAAATGTTAATGATAATTCATCCATTCACAGCACAGGATAGGATGACAAATTATACGTACCAGCAATGTTTTCAAAAAATACTTTATTGAAATTATTTACACAGATCACAAAGCAGTTGCAAACTTTACAGACTGCATACAGAGAGAGGGAGGAACAACTTGATAAAAATAAACCAAGAGATTTTCATTTTTAAAACATGGGACAAGATCTCGCGCTCTTCTTGAAAACACTATAGTTGAGGAGTTGTAAAACACGGATGTCTAACATCCTCACTAACTCCGAACATGATGAATGCATATTTATGGCACATCTATGGGTTTCTAAATGAGGTCTTGGCAGAGGCTTTGTAAAGATGTCAGCAACCATTTCTTGCATTGGACAATACACAACTTCTATTATGTTCTTTCTTTGAAGATCTCTGATGTGATGATACTTTGTGTCTATATGTTTAAGTCTTGAATTGTGTTTTTCATTTTGTGAAATTTTTATTGTTGCTTGATTATCTTCTATAATCTTGATTGGCAGATTTTGCTTTAGCTCAAGTTCTTCTGTCAGACATAAAACCTACAGTAGTTCTTGCGTAACACTTGCTAAAGAAACATATTCGGCTTCTGTTGAGGATAGAGCTACACAATTTTGTTTCCTTGATTTCCACAAATTTTCTCCAAGATGTATCACATTTCCTGATGTTGATTTTCTGTCGTGTCTGTCTTGAGCCCAATCAACATCACAGTAGACCTTTAGCTCAAGTTTTTCAGTTAATGAAATTTGTAGTCGCAGATATTTTGTCAATTTAAGATAGCATATAATTCTCTTAACAGCATTCCAATCTTGCTGTCTTGGATTTTTACATATTCTGCTAAGAATGTGTGTTGAAGCTGCTATATCTGGTCTTGTAACAGTTGAAATATATAAGAGAGCCCCACTGCCTGCATATATTTTGTTATTTTGAAGCAGGTCTTCTTCTTCTTGTAGTTTGTAATAGTCTGTTTCCATTGGAGCTGGCTTTGCATCTTGCAAATTAAACTTCTGTACAAGCTCTTCTATATTATTTTGTTGATTCAACAAAAAACTTCCATCTTTCTTTCTTTTTGCTTCTATTCCCAAGTAAAACTTTACTTCTCCCAGATATGTAATCTTACAGTTTTCTTTAAGAATTTCTACTATTTTGCTAATGCTTATTTCACTTTCTGCACTAATCAAAATATCATCCACATATAGCACACAATATACAATATTTTTTCCTTCACCCTTGGTAAACAAACAGGTATCAGCCTTGCTTTGTTTAATTAAAACCTTGATTAATTAGAGTTGTTGCTATTGTCTCATTCCATGTTTTGGCAGCTTGTTTAAGAACATAAATAGCCTTTTGTAGCTTGCATACTTTTCCTTCTTTCTTCAAATCCTAAAGATTGTGTCATGTAAACATCGTCATTTAATTTTTCATTTAAAAATGCAGTTTTAACACCAACATGACGTACTTTCATTCCTTTATATACAGCTGCAGCTAAAACTGCTCTAATAGTTGTATGCTTAACAACGGGTGCAAATGTTTCATCAAAGTCAGTTCCAAATCTTTGATCACAGCCTTTTGCTACTAATCTTGCTTTGTATTTTGTTTCTCTTCCATTTTCATCATACTTTGTCTTGAAAAAACACTTGCATCCTATTGCTCTTTTATCTTGTGGTAGATCAACTAACTTCCAAATTTCTTTTTCTTTTAGGGAATTAATTTCTTCATTCATTGCTTTTTCCCATTTTTGCTTCACTTCTTTTGGTAATTCCAGTATACCTTCAAATGACTTTGGATCTATATGTGGAATTTTAACATTCAGCTTTGAATGTCAATTTTTCAAGAGGTCTGAAAGATCAACCAAAAGGTTGATCTTTCAGACCTCTTGAAAAATTGACATTCTTAGTAGAATTTCTGATTCTGTTTCTTCTTCTGTTTGCATTTTTGCAGGCTCTGTTTCTTCTGAGTCTTGCTCTTCTGGAAAACTATCATTAACATGAAAAAGTTGGAAGACATCTTTAGTATTCCATAGTTCATGTTTTCCTTTATTTTCTTTTCCTGTATTCATTTCTAGGAATTTTACTGATCTGCTTATTATTACATTTCTATCACCTGTGTAAATCCTATATCCCTTACTTCTCATATCATACCCTACAAATGTACCTTCAATGGCTTTTTCATCTAATTTTCATCTTTTATGCTTATTTATGTAGGCATATGCTTTACATCCAAAAACTTTAAGATGGTTTAGGTTGGGCTTTCTTTTGTTTCACAACTCATATAGTGTTTTATTTATTGTTTTAGTATGTAATCTGTTCTGCAAATAATTTGCAGTTATCACTGCTTTACCCAAAAGGATTTTGCAAGATTTGCATTTATTGATATCGTAGCTCGTGCCATTTCTATAAGAGATCTGTTCTTTCTTTCTGCAACATAATTTTGTGCAGGAGAATAAGGTATTGTAGTTTGATGAGTGATTCCTTGTTTTGTTAAATATTCTTCAACATTTTTATTACAGTATTCACCACCATTATCTGATCTTAGTGTGTTGATTTTTCTTCTAAATTTATTTGTAGTTAAAGCTACAAATTCTTTCAGTTTTGCAAGAACTTCCTCTTTGCTTTCAATTAGATATATCATAGCAAATCTAGAAAAATCATCTACAAATGTAAGGAAGTATCTGTTTCTTCCTATACTATCTACTTGCATTGGACCATATATGTCACTATGGACCAATTCCAATGGCTCTTTAGCTCTGTAAGTAGACTTCTTTGGATATGGCAATTCAGTGAGCTTTGCTTTAATGCATATTGGACATTGTAATGTTTACAACTATGCAACATTATTCCCTCTACTAAGT